ATGTTTTTTTTTTTTTTAAAGAAAAGTTTATATATTTACAATGTTATACAATAACTAATAAGTAGGTATATTTGATAAGATTTGATTGACGGGAGGGAGAAGTCACCCAGTGGCAGCACACTGTATGATATAGGTTTGTTATAAATTTAATATTTATAATTTACCTATTCGAATAGATATAGGTGGTCGGTCGGGATCGCTAAAACGCTAGAAGATGAGATCCTGGGGTTGATTTTCGTCCTGTTCTTTGCTCCCTAAAAAAGGCTGTCAGACCTCGTGCAGTGTGGGACAGGAGAATAAGATTTTTACTAATAGGATGCTGCCTGGTTCAATATATTGTGTCGTGAAGCATATTCAAATATATTGTTCAAAAACGATCAAATAGTAGCGGGGAACTGTATATTTTTAAAATACACGTATAGGGATTTTCACTCGCAGTATAGCATCGTGTATGTAATAGGTATGTTATCAGTGCATCATTCATGAGTATCATGTATTCATGTTGTAATATTATTATACGATGACGATGAAGACGAGTGGACTGGAATGAGGCTGATGGCTATTTGGAAGAAGACCATATCAAACGCACGTGGTTTACTGTGCACAATATGCATTTCTAGGAATTTGCGGACATGCGGTACGCTATAATAGTATAATAAACATAATATATTAATACATTATATTATTATATACTTTTAAACAATGTCGTCCTCATTATTGTTTTGGGGACGGGGGCGTCGCATGGTTGTCACCGTCGCACTCCTGCTGCTATAATTAATGTGCTCTCATCGATCCGACCTAGTTCATATTTGTCACTTATTTGCCTTTGATTCCTAAGAACTTTTTATATCACTACTACCGCCACCTTTAACCCGGGGGGTTTTTGTTTTATTTCATTTTTAGATGATGTATAAATCAATGTATTTCGCTATAGTGGAGTAGCCATGCTCCCTCCCCCACAAATTTACAGAATTATTTTTACATACAATCAGAATAAAACTGTTACAAAATTGCCATAGTGGCGATTTTTTTAATTTGTTTGACATTAACAATATTTATACATAATGTTTTGGCTTTTCCTCTCCCCTTCTAAATACTGACTACGCCCCTGTTTTGCGATCATATACGTACCTAATTAGGTATAATTTCTGTTGCGGATATTCAGCTGCGAATCATTATCATTATGATTGTATTTTTCTTAAGTAATTTGAAAATTGTATGTTGTATTCTACTGCATGTAGTTGTTTTTCTACGTCGGGGGCAACAGCGTAGTAGTATTTATTATAGTTGGAATTAAGTGTGGGACTGAAATAAATCTTAAAAAAAGACCGTATACAATTCATATTGATTAATATTAAAGATAAAAAATTATAGCAAAGCAGTTGACTTCCTGTATTGCAAGTCGTAACTGCAGTTCAATTAAAAATTAGCACGGGGCTTGTGAGATCGGCGTATTTGATATATATATAATATATAATATAATATATATATATATTTGTTATACTTAATAGTTTCTAGTTCAAGGCGCATATCAACTATTATTGACACTGCCCATTGTTCTAATGTTCTCTGTTATTTATAAATTTCGATATCTCAATAATATTATTTTTTCATCATTATGGTTATTTGTTGTACGCCCTAACCTATACGGCTATACAATATAATAATATCCAGCGTGACGGTAGTGGCGCGAAGCTAAGTAAAAATAAATAGCGGAGTAGCCACTAACGTGTAATAACAGGACACCGAGTTTTAACATTGAAAAATCGTCCTAATTTATGTCAATTTTTTGCTAAGCTCTACAGGGCAAACGGCTGAACATATAAAGCCGTATGAGGTATCAATCGTTCATAAATATTGTGCAGATGGGAACAGAGGAATTCGCTAGGAGATTGGTTAGATAGTTTATAAGTTATAACTTATAAGCAAATATGTTCAAGTACTTTAAAGACCGATTTTGCGTACTCAATAGTGGGGATGGATAAGCGGTGGGTCGGAGAACGAAAATATCGTAAATACTAAATGCATATGATATTATGGATTATTATTATTATATACAGTCAAATAAAATCGCGACTTATTTCATAAAAAAAATAGCTGATATCACACCAAAAACACTACGTTATAACTCCGTGTAAAAAAAAAAAACTAAGTTAAAAAAAAAATGTAGTAATGATTAAATCTTTAAAAGACGTGATATAATATGGAAATTAAGTAAAATGACATTTTATAATATTACAAATACCTATGATGACAAATAAGATCAATTGTAATATTAAATACTTAGTCAACACGTTATGTTTAATTATTTGGCAGGACGTAGAAGTATACTTAAATAAATAAGATTAAGTAATCACTACAGTATTTACAGTAATTAATAATGTATCAACAATATGTTGACTAAGTATTTAAAATTACAATTGATCTTATTTGTCATCATAGGTATTTGTAATATTATAAAATGTCATTTTACTTAATTTCCACATTATATCACGTCTTTTAAAGATTTAATCATTACTACATTTTTTTTTTAACTTATCTTTTTTTTTACACGGAGTTATAACGTAGTGTTTTTGGTGTGATAATATATACAATAGGTATTCTATTCTGTGATAATATAGTTGAATGGGAATTTGTTAAAAGGGACCCAAGTTACATTTTTGATAAAAATAGTTTTGTTGTATATTATTCATCCTCTTATGTAAACACATATTATATGCTTATAATTTGTAAATCAAGGACTGATTCAATAAAATTAGGTACATAAGTTTTTCTTTTTTTTTTTAATTTTAATAAAAATATATTGTTTTTTAAGATTGTTATTCATTTGTTTATATTCAGAGTTTGTTATTTAGTTGCATTGATTGCATTTTAATTGGATAAAATAAATAAGAAGGTATTATATTATTTTAAAATGTGACTATTATATTAAATTATGATACCTGAAATTAATATAATTATTAGAATTTGTTTGAAGGTACCTATGTCACATTACAAAAATTCGTTATTTATAAAAGTACAAATTTTTTTTAAATAATTTATTTTTTATGCAATAATAATTAATCTAAATCGTGATGATTGATCTTATTACGCAAATAGAAATAAAGGAAAACTGTTTATTGTTTCTCCTGAAAAGTAGTTGAAAATGTACATGTAAATTGCCATTCAGTTATACACCAAAATGAAATGTACTTGTTAAGAGGACGTGATACCCGCATGTGTTGTTCCCGTCTTACAAGTGCGTAACTAGCAAATTCTACGCTCAGCAGAACACATGTAGCTCCGTTGGTTTAAAAATTAGAGTGAATTGACCTCTTACCAAATCTCAAAGTAAGATTATTATCTAGACAAACTCATGGGCTTTTTATTATATTTTAATTTTAAAGCGAGCTATGTTTATTTAAAAATTGTAAAATGTTTGTACATCATAAAGTGCTCATAACTCGCTTAAAAATTAAAATATATAATAAAAAGCCCATGAGGTTGTTTAGATAATAATCTTACCTTTAGATTTTATTAGAGGTCAGTTAACTCTAGTTTTTAAATGAATGGAGCTACACTTCTTCTGCTGAGCGTAAAATTTTATTTTTCTAACAACGTTGTAAATGTGTTACTTAGTATCCCCTTTCATTATATATTTTACTTGTCCCTTTCAACCGGTATTTCTCGATTTATAAAAATCTAGTAAATATAGTTTCCCATATCAATAAAAATGTCGATTTCTTTAAAGTTGGTAATTAATTATTGTTCTTTTCACCTACTTTCCTTGATTCCTAAATTATTTGAAAATCTATATACCTAGTCAGTCACCAGGGGCGAATTTAAGGATGGTCCAGAGGTGCCCCTCTCTCATCAGCCTAGCATCTAGGTTAATAAATTGGGCCGTTTTTAACTATTTGTGTCGTAAAACTTGAAAAAAGACAATGGGCCGACCCCAAAAAAATTCTAGATCCGCCATTGTCAGTCACTTGTAGACAATTTTTATTATTTCGTTATATAGATTCGTCTGTTATATATATGTTTTTCAACCAAATTACTTGTATCATAATTATAGGTAAAGATAGTATTATGACAAATATCATTATTTCATGGTTTTATGTAAGTTATAGTAGAAATGGTTTGTTATAAAAAATTATTTTTCAATTATGATGATGATTTTTTTCCAAGCATCAGAAGAATTTATTACTTTGCATTGGATACATATATATATTTTCCTCTGCATGCTATACTACTGAGTAGAGTAGGTATACCTAGATAAAATATATGTGACGTGTCGCGTTCGTAAACCACTGATCGTGTATTATTCGTGGAACTATTTTTGTATAATAGGTCGAAGTAATTGACTCGTTATATTATAATTATTATATTTTATTTAAATATGATCGATAATCTAAAAAACTCATCCAGTTTACGTCTACGACCATATTATATTATGCAAAGTGTGGATTTATGGGGCCTCGCCCCCTCAACAACTATTTTGTCTATACTTAAACAAAAAAAGGCAAAGAAGAAAATCCATCAATAGTGCTGTAGTCACTATAAATAGTTAATCGATTAAAATGTATTATAAAATATTTAACGTGTTATCAATTTCTATAAGTTAAAAATCGGAAATTGGTTTTTGTTTTTTCTAAGGATGATTTAAAAACTGATAATACTGCGTTAAAAAGTTTGTAGTTATAGTTTTAATCAATTGTTCATTAGTCGTTAAATTCGATTTTGTGGTTGATAAAAAACGTTCATTGAAAATCTACTTGAAACCATATTTTTGATCTATGAAACGTCTGACAAATTGGCCAATTAACGAAATTGGCTTCATGATTATTTTTCAGATTTATAATAAAAAAATGAATTTTATGACATTTGCTAAAAAATAATTGTATAATTTTCTACCTAATAATTATTTTAAAGTGCATAATTGGGCTATGTGATAATATACCTGCTATAAAAAAAATGCCTACGACCTATCTGTATAATTTATGTTGTGATTTATTGAACAGCACGAGCGGACATGATGACCGACATTGGAACAAGCTCAACGTGGATCACCGAACCAGAGGGTGGCGTTGCGGTCCGCAGTAAGCCTTACACGTTACAATGTCATTCAACCCTGCCGAATGCCACGTATCTATGGATGTACAACAATCGAACTTTAGATCTAGTCAACGACTCGCGGCGTCAGATTCTTCCCAACGGCTCTCTGTATTTCAAAACCGTAAGCGATCCAGTTTTTTCTATTCTGGGGAGTAGTGGGCTTGATGAATGAGTGATTTAGCTTTTATATCCGCGTTTGCCTACGGATGATTTATATATTTCCTATATGTGTTTGCAAATCTTATAAAATATCTAATACAATTATATGTACTTAACCACAGTTCAATATACTATATTCTATTCTATATAATGTATTGTATAGATAATCACACCAACATTACAATATGTATCAATCGAACACATGACAGTATGACAATGCAGTGTATACACTTGTACTTTAAGATGTGCATTATTCGTATCTAATTTCAGAATAATATATTCATATAGATTATAATATATAGCAGTGCCGGCCCGATGGTTTTCGGGGCCCGGTGCAGAATTTCGCGGGGCCCCATATGGCCAATGGCTGTATATGTTAATTTATTAATTATTATACAATATACACATTTATTTTATTTTTTAGGGACTAACTTTAATCTTATATAATTTTGTAATCTTAAAGCTCTTTTAATTATGTTAGAAACCTAAGATTGTTCGTATAAACAATGTACAAACAATATTTTATTAATAAATATTTTTATTATATTGAACATAAATTATAATAATAATGAAATGAGTATAATTACGTTTACTAAGAATAAAAAAAATTTAACAAAATATAATATTATTTAAATATTTTTTTCCGTATTTTTTTTGATGCAAACTGATCAATTGTCTCATTGTAGCTCAAAGAATCGGCAATACTATGTTCGATGCTGATAAGGGCCAGGTCCGATAACTTATGCTGTGATAGATTGCTTCTTAAATAATTTTTTATCAGCTTCAATTTAGAGAATGAACGTTCAGCACCAGCTGATGTAACTGGTATGGTGAGCATTATTCTAATTGCCACTTCTATATTTGGAAATGAACTAGAAACGTTTTTTAAAAAAGATAATGCCTGCAGAGGTGTTGCGTTTTCGTCTACTATACTTCGAAAAATAAGAAGTTCCATGTATAAATCTGCACCATTTATATCTCTAGAATTGCCTTCACTCAATACGTTTTGCAAATCGTTACAACAATTTTTAATAAAATCATCATTTTGATGTTTAAGTTTTCCAATTCTGTACAAAAATCCAAAATTGGAGTTAAATGTGCTCTGGTACTCAAATCGTACTCTCAATGCTTCAGTAGCACGGTCAATTAGAATCAAAAAGTAATCACGACGAAATTCTTCTTCTGAACTAATTGTATATTCATCGTTACTTTCGTAGTTAAACATTTTTTTTTTCTTTCTTGGTCTTTTTTCCTTGAAGTTAGCAGTTCCACCAATAGATTCAACGATTTCTATTCCAACCAATTTGGCGTTTTCAAATCCATTTGTACGATATTTTTCTAGAAAAGTGATAAGACTCCCTAAGCTGCTAGCCGATGCATCTAAATCCATTTTAGGATCTTGTAAGATTCTGTTTACAATTTTAACTTGACCCAAAATATCATGCCAGATTACCAGACTCAAAACAAATTCAAAACTCATCAATTCATCTATAATTGATTTTGCTTCACTCACTGACTTTGGATCATTAGAGCATTCAGCTATTTCTTCTAAAGCATTTAGTACCTCAGGTAGTTGATCTCTGATCGCTTTAACACATTTATATCTACTTTCCCATCGTGTAGCTGTCCACTTTTTTAACACTATAGAGCAGTGTTTTTTTAAAATATCCCATCTTTTTGTAGACGCTGAAAATAGAGTGTACACACGTTCAATCATTCCAAAAAATGATATTGCTCTAATACAACTTTGAGAAACATCACAAAGGAGTAGGTTTAGCTTATGAGCAGCACATGGGGCAAAAAATGCTCTTTGATTTTGAGCTCGAATACGTGACTGTACTCCTTGATATTCTCCAACCATATTGCTTCCGTTATCATACCCCTGACCTCGGCAGTCACTAAGAGGTATCTCATATTCTGCAAGCTTTGAAATCAACAAATTTGAAAGACTTAATCCTGACGTTGAATGAATATTCACGAAGTCCATAAACAATTCTTGAATGCTTGGTTCTGTTAATTTGTCCCAATGCATGTTGACAATTCTAAATACTAAGGATACTTGCTCTTGGTGGCTAATATCTGGAGTGCAATCAATGATCACGGAATAGTACCTATGTTTTTTAATTAAATTTATAATTGATTTTCGAACTTCATTTGCCATTATTTCTATCAACTCATCTTGAATTCTGTGTCCTAGGTAATGGACATGAGTTTCTTTATCTTTAATTCGTTTTACGTGTTTCTGTATAACAGGATCAAATTTGGAAAGCATTTCAATCGCACTAAGAAATTTTCCATTATTGTCTTGATATAAAACATCATTGGAACCCCTGAATGCAATACTATTTTTAGCTAAAAAATGGATAACCGCTAGTATTCGTGTAATAACATCATGCCAATGTTTTTTTTCCGCGTTTAATTTAGTCAGATGTAGTTTATCTATAGTATTGAGTTCTGATATTCTTTGTTTTAATTCAATCCATGACTGTAAGGAAGTATAATGTGGAATCGTGATTTCATGAGACTTTAGTCTCTCCCCAATATGTCGCCAATCGTTTATACCATTCTTGCTTAAATTACCAGTAGAATGAGAGTCAAAAAGTTTACAACAAAAACAAAAAGCTCTATCTTTAAATTTTGAATGTACCAGCCAGTTTCGTTTAATAACATCTCCGTTGTCTAAACGTTTGTCATATAATGTTGGATTAAAACGTCTTAGCTCACCATTTATTTCAGATTGAGGAAAATTATAGCTTTTAACTTGTATTGGCCCCAGTTTTATAAGCTCTTTTCTGAAATCATTATTTATTATTTCAGGCCAACAACCAATATCTGTCATATCGTAGTCATTTACTGTGTTTATAATAATGTCATTACTGCTACTTTTACTTTCGGTTTGTAATTTATTAATTTCAACTTCGTTATCAATTTTTATACTTGAAGAAGGAGTATCAAATTTATCATTCTCAATATTTTTCATATCATAATCATTTACTGTGTCTATAATAAAGTCATTACCGCTATTATTACTTTCGGTTTGTAATTTATTAATTTCAACTTCGTTGTCTATTTCTATACTTGAAGAAGGAGTATCAAATTTATAATTTATATATTTGTTGAAAGATCCACGCATTTTATTTAAACTTTTTTCCCTTATGTTTTTTTTCTGCGTTTTCGCATTTCCTGACGGATAACTTCTAAACTTATCTCGATCTCTTGATGACATGATACAGAAATATAAGAACTACAAAGTATCGTTTTGTAAATTGCCTGTGAAAATGATATTACCTATCAGTATTGTTTTTAAAATTTAGATAGAATGACTTTAATGATTCTACATCTACACATTTTTTTGTCATATAAAAATGTAAAATAATCCAAAACGTACCTTTTCCATTAATTAATTATTAATTAATCCACCCCTCAATCAAGGTAAGATATTAAAATATAGACATAGACACATAGTACACATAATTATTCCGTAATCCATATTCAAAAATATTTATTTTATGTAAGTAATTAAAATAGACTATAGTAAATACCTGTTTATTAATGAAGCGATGTCCGTTAAATTAAACCCGTGTTCGTCAATCGTCGTTAGCTCGTTGAATGTCTCGTAGTGACGAGACGAGCGTTACCCGTGTAGCCTTTTGTAGGCAATATCAAGATTATGAGGTATCGTAGTTCTCGTTAATAATAAATTACAAAAGAAAAATATTATCATTATACTATTTTATACTATGTTATTATAATAGGCTACAGCTATAGTTTGTACTGTTATCGATCGTCGTCAAAGATAAACAATTGTACAAGTACGTCATAACGAATGTATAACTGTATAGATAATAGATATGTAGGTATAATTGGTATTCGTCGATAACAAACAGTTTCCTAAGAAAACAACACGGGTCGCGATATCCGTATTACTGCTACGGGGACAATATTATTATGTTTATTTATAGATAAAGTGATATTCGTAACAAGCCCGCCATGCGCGGGGCCCCACACAAGCGCGGGGCCCGGTGCGGTCGCACCGCTTGCCCCCCCCTAGGGCCGGCACTGATATATAGAACTATATAAGTATTAGGTACAGTATGATTCACCAACCCACATTGTTTCCTTTAATAATGAATTTATCTAAATTTTTACTTTTGAGGAAAACATTTTTCTTAAGACGTGCTTATACTTCAAAATTCCAAAAATTATAATTTTAATAAATTCATTATTAAAGAAAATGGTGGTAGCATGCTTGGTGTATCACTCTGTATATAATATATAGGTTAATAGTTTATATCAATTAACTAAATTAAGGGTAAAGGTACTTATTGGTATAAAGGCACTGGTACAATTAAGTATTAACTGCTAAAAATATATATTTTTTAATGATTAATAATAAATAATAATAACTACATATGTTATTTGAGTATCTGATACATAATACGAAAAATAAAAAATACGTGTACAATCATTATAATCCAATCCACTTTGTATAACTGAATACTATTTATTATTGGCCACTTCACATTGTCGATACCAAATCAATGACAAAAGTCGTGGCAAACGAATCCTGAACTCAACCAGAACAATGGAAAAAAAAAATCAATATACAGTATTCAAATAAAATTGTTGTCAAATTACTACCAAAACTAATATCTTTGCTGTTTTCAGATTATTATTATGTTTTAAGTACACATTTTAAACTGACATTTAATTGAACATTGAATATTATTGATATTATTATACTCACATTTAGTTGGTCAATAACATGTATGAATAAGTTATAGGTACGTTACTCGGAAATAAAATAGATCACTGACCTGTGTAACTAATGGTCCGAGTATTTATTTATTTATGACTTCTTCTTATTGTGATAGGACTGTTTATACATAGATCTAAATTGTATTAATAAAAATAAAATTCCTATTTATTTTTGTTATTAAGAAAAATAAGTAGGTAATTTTAACGGAAATCTCAATACTAGTTGTATATATATCAGTGCCGTATCTACGGGGGTGATATGGGAGTCATATTCCACCCGGAGACCAAATTGTGTACACAATATACAACATGTATATTATGTAGAATATAATAAATATAATATATTTTACATACTGAATGTTTATTAGAAATGAATCCTAAAAATAATCCTAGATACACTACTGAGGCCAGTTGAGTACAAACGGGGGGAAGGACAAAATATAAAAAAAGTGGGTGAGTGGATGTTGCTCTGCTGTATAGTAGGTTACAAGTGGGTCACTGTAATGGATGTTGTTAAATTAGAATTCAATGATATAATATTATCATTGTATATGAAAAACGATTCTGAGCGGAGACGGTTTGTCATTCAAGGATACTTTATATTATATTGATATTATTATTAATACGGCACCTAGCTGGTAAGTTGAACATTGTATATAATAATATACTTGAGAAGTTTCAAGTACCTACAAATAACATTTTTAAATGACAACAAAATAAAAAATTGTTATTCTTGGTTCTTTAATATTTAATTTCGTGTTCAAATTTTAACATAAAATAGCTATAGAAAAACAGTGTTTTTATACTTTTTAGAATTACTGGTTACAGAATAACTTACTTACGCGGAACCTTGTTTTAAATTTTCAATACTTTTATAAATTTTACAAAATCATTTATAAGTTTTAAAAGTTGTTAAATTATTTAAAATTCGAACTTAAAATGCTTATTAAAAAAAAAAATTGTTACTGTATTTTTAATATTTTTCCACTGCTATTGTAACAATATATCAGGAGCCTTGTATTAAATTTTTAAGCTTACAATTTTATTGACATTTATAGAAAAAAAAACTAAAATAATTGGAAACTGAAAATATTCGTAAACAGCTCATAACAGGTCAAAATAATTTGGTGTGGGTAGAAAATGCTAATATAAACATTCAGTGGAAATGAAGCTACGGTCATTTGTTTTAGAGTTACACCTAAAACCAAAATCGATTATGTCGAAAACCGATTTTGCGTAAAAATCACGTTTTCCTTAATTTTAGATTCTGAGCGGAGCGATTTTATTTGTTTTTCCTGGAGCTTTTCAAATTTATTTCGAATTTTAAATTTTGACTTCCCAAATGCACCAACTAGATTCAGATTCACTTTCCTATTGAACATGATACTGAAGTTGTAAATCGAAGCATTATTGCCACTACTTATCGTGTATACATACACAAAAAAAAAAAAGTGCTCTGCTGTACAGTAGGTTACAAGTGGGTCACTGTTTAATGGATGGTATTAAATTTAAATTCAATGATATAATATTATTGTATAATAAAAACGATTCTGAGCGGAGACAGTATGTCAGTCTAGATATAAGACATATTATATACATATATATATGGTATTAAAAAAAATTTACCTATGATGGGTATGTACCTTAAACCTATAATAAATTCCAAATTAATCATATCACAATATCCATTAGGTACTTATAACGCGTTATACATCAACCACAAACCCTGATACTATCATAGATATATAATAGTGTACTTTAGAAGTTTCAAGTACCCACGAATAATATTAATATTATACAATCACAACAAAATAACTAAAATAGTTATTCTAGGTTTTTTATTATGTAATTTCGTCCAAATTTGAACCCTAAATGACTATAAAAATAAACTGTGCATATGTATTATTTAGATTTTTGGTAGCAGAATTAACTACTTACACTACTTAGTTTTTACACATTTTGGCCCAACAGATAAAACTTTATTGATATTTATAGAAAAAAAACTAAAAATATTTAAAACTGAAAATGTCCGTAAACAGCTCAAAACAAGTCAAAATATTTTCAAAATTGTATGGTGTATAGGAAATGCAAATATAAACATTCAGTGAAATTTTCATGTACCTATCTACAGTTATTCGTTTTTGAATTACAACAAAATAAGGAAATCGCCACATGAGAAATCGAGTGAATATCCAATGTTTTAAAAATTTGAATTTCAAACGCTCATAAAAATTTAATTTGACTTTCTTACATACATTTTTTTTTTTTGATAAATGTAGAAAATCTTATAAGGAATCTAGTATTACATTTTAAAATCTCAAATTTAAAAAGAAAAATTTCTACGAATTCTTAACTCAAAAAAAAATTGCGAATTTTCGTGATTTTTCATTTTTTGTCAATTTTTGAACTTTAAATGCTTATAAAAAAAAACTGTGACTAAGGATTTTTAATATTTTTCATCTGCCTTTGAAACAATATAGTAGGAGCCTTGTATAACATTTTCAAGTATTTATACTCGAGAAATAAATTTTTATTGATATTCATAAAAAAAAAAAAACTAATAAAATTGGAAACTGAAAATGTCCCTAAACAGTTCAAAATAAATCAAAATATTTTTAAATTGTTATTGTGTATAGAAAATGCAAATATAAACCACCAGTGAAAATTTCATGTATCTACGGTCATTTGTTTTAATGTTACACCAAAAACCAAATTCAATTTTGTGAAAAATCAATTTTGCGTAAAAATTCCCGTTTTTCCTTAATTTTTCTTTTTTTTTGCTTGGCGCTTTTGAAAATTACTGGCAATTTTAAATTTTGACCTCCTCAATGCACCAACGATATTCTTTTTCCAATCTAACAAGATACTGAAGTTGAAAATCTAAGCATTATTTTGACTACTTTTCGTGTACACAGACATAAAAAACAAAAAAATTAAAAATTAAACACACATCATTGTAAAAGCAATATACATGCATCGTTCCACTCAGAATCTTAAATATACATTGTAAAATCAATAATTTCATCGCTCTGCTCAAAATCTACAAACTCAGCTTTGAAATGGTTAATGGTTAGAATGAAATTATACCAGTATTACGTTTTTACTATGGTATATGATAGAACTAATTGCGTTGGGTGATGCATTCCGATACACATTTGTACATAATTTACCAAAAGCAAGAAGGTTGAACTCCAATGTAATATGTTATTGAGTATCGTTTAATTATTTTATTATTTTACACACGAGTTTTCAGCTTAATAAATGTAATTCATTATATCTGAATATCTGATTAACACGTCGTCTATGTTTATAATATAATATAATATCATTATAATTTATAGGTGGTGAACAGAAAATGGGGTGACGCGGGATCCTATAGATGTATAGTACAAACTCCCCACGGTGCAGTTTCCTCAAAAACAGTTACATTGCTCACGGCAGGTAAATATTTCAATTTTAATTTTTTTTTTATTTTGAATACGATTGTTGACATTGCCTTTTGTTTCCACCATACATTCTATATAATATATATTATGCTCGTTGGCTTAACTCTACCGCGACATTTTAATTATATACATTTATAGTTTATACTAAGTAATGGCATAAATGTATATTTTGTTTAATGTTTATCTTTATAAGTACTAAGATATTATAATATATAGTATAATATACTATGTCACTATGATTTTATATAGTACATACTATGTTCTATACATCTATATATTCATATAGACTATAGAGATGTAGTATAATATTGAACTTGATTTTTAAACTCTGATTTAGTTTAGTACGTGGGTACCTACATAAAAATACAATTTGAACTGTGCGTTATACGTAGCCAATGCGACTGTATCATTATTTATTATCATTGCATTTTTGGTAGATGAAGCGCATGTGCAGCGTTGCTGAACATAGCGATTCTTGGAATGCAACAAGAAAATTCGAATTTTTTTTAGTAATTTATTTTTCCACTCCGATTTACGTGACTCGTAACAATACGATGTTGGTGATTGACGCATTATGTACGTTTCCAATTATTATTTTTCACGTTCGACTCGCGTACTCTTAGTGCTAAATATTAAGTCACGTAAAAATATAATTCAATACATTCCCATTTTCGACAACTAACAATTTGTTTTCGTCTCGCTTGATTATTTTAATGGTACGTGACACGATGACAGTTTGTATACGAGTAGTTTGAACATGTATTATAATGAGACGCATGCTTTTTCGCTGTAACGTGGTTATATATGGCTGTTCTAATTGAATTCTAATTACAGATTAGTGTAATAGAGTAATAGATTATTCATTTATTTACAACTACCGTTTATGGAATTTTATAAATTCTTTATATCTTTTACTCTTGTTTACTACCGATTTTTTTTACATTTTTGCGATGTTCTGAATTTTTTATCAACCCATTGACACTATTGAGTTTGAAGAAACAACGGATAATAATCTGAATTGTCTACTACAATATAATATTTTTTATTTTATATACCACATACTACAATCTACATACATATTACTTTTTTAATTAAAAAAATTACTTGAGGGATGCCCACAAAAATTTAAAGTATTTTGGAAATTTTGTGTCAAGTCTTAAACATTACTTCATGGTCCAAACTCTAGAATTTCTTTTTTATTTATGATTTACTTAACCCTGAGTATATACTTCATTTTATCTGTTTGAATAACAATTTCTTGAAAATAAAATAATTTATCTGAAATGTTTATTATTAGCTTAATGAATCTACTCATTGTACCTATATAAATATATACCACCATATTTAAATGATTAATATTTTTTTTTCATATTTATTTCAGTTATTCATGACTTTGATGTATCACCATCCAATGTAACAGTTAGTTCAGAAGCTAGTTGTTCTGTTATTCGATTTAACTGTCATGTCAATTCCATTCCTTTAGCAACTATTACGTGGCAGAAAAACGGAGTTGTCTTGTCCAGTAACAATAAAAAGTAAGTAGGTATCAATGATTTTAATAAATTGATTTTTATTCTTATATTTCTTTTTTCTTTTTTCTATAGGTTTGTAACTAAAGTTCCTGGTATACTATATATTAAACAAGTTAACGAGAATGATGCTGGGGAGTATAGGTAAATAATAAAATATTAATTAGAAATATTATTGAATCCACTAATTTAATTTATAAAACTTTAACTTAGATGCGTAGGAAAAAACCATTTATTGAACAAGACAAAATACAGTGAAGTTGGTAATTTGACTGTCAACAAGATAAACACTGGACCAAAATCAGATATCCAAAAATTAGCATTCATTTCGCCTAATGTTTTGAACCTGAAAATTAAGTATGTGACTGAAGGTGAAAATGTGACATTTGAATGTGCTGCTACTGGTGTTCCGGCTCCTCAGCTCAATTGGTCATTTGAAAACTCTACAGGTAAACTAAAAACATTAATTAAATTTCATTAAATGTTTGTTAGTATAAGCTTGGCTATTATGTATAGGACACAATACTATACTTAATGATGAAGGAACTTCTGTCAACATATTAAGTTTAACAAGAGTAAGTTTTAAGGATTCAGGAACTTATACATGTCATGCATTTCAGTCTGTGACAGGATGGCCGGATCTGCCACAAGCTCAAGTAATATATATTAATAGCTTTTTGAATTTATTTAATATTACATTAACTTGTGCATTGTACTTGCTATTAATGCGGGCCGCTTCAATTTATACTGGCTAATAATATTGTGTTTGCTTCTTACTTATTTTATAGTATTTTCAATTAGAAGTTATGACACCTCCTAACATCACTATTCCACCAGAAACACAAACTATGCCTATAGCAAATACTATTCGCTTCAGGTGTGTGGCTGAAGGTAATCCCACTCCTAATATAACATGGTATCACAATGGTCAACGTTTGAAGTTAAATGGTAAGCAAATAAAGTTTTGATTGTAAATTGGCTCAAGTCAATAAATTGTTTTGTTTTACATCAGGTCGTATAAAGGCCAAGAGCAAACAACTTTTATTAGTTAGTAATACAGTATCGAATGACTCTGGATTCTATCAATGTTTTGCTTCTAACCAATATGGGACTATATGGGCAGGAGCGATGCTCAATATTAGCTCATCCCCATTTGAACCAGCACCACCTATTAATATCAGCTGTCGTACATTATCTCCTACTCAAATTCAAGTATCTTGGCGAAAGTCCCCAACAGATATCCCTGATGATCCGCCTATCCTTGTTCGCGATGATTCTACACAACTTGGTCCTTCTCACGGTGGTGTGCTATCATCATCATCTGCTACTGTGTCTACAGATAATGAAAATAAAGTATCCAGAGCATATTCTATTCATTACATGCCTACAGGTACTTGATTCTATTCTTAACTTGTAGGTATTTCTTGTCAATACAAAGTTTAACCTTATTTTTGATTACAGATGGCGGAGAAGAAACACAACAAGTTAGTGTAAACCATTCTATTATTGTAGAAAAATTGAAACCATACAAAAACTACACTTTTTATGTACGAGTCTATAATGGTAAATCTGGATCTGATCAATCTGAAAAAGTCACTTGTAAAACTCAAGATGAAGGTTTGTACATTTATTGTAAAAATCTTTCTATTTAAACTCATTTAACTAAAAATGTACTTGTTTCTCATAGCGCCACAAACAGTTCCAGAACTAAAGGTTACTACTGCTCTTAGCCCTATATCAATATACATAGAATGGGCTGCAATTAACGTAAATTTGGCTAATGAAGCCATTACTCATTATCAAGTAATGTGGAAACGATTACATTGTTCATCGAATTATATACAATTGTTGGATAATGATGCCAGACAATACACAATAACAGGTAATTCACCATTTTTATCAATTAAAATTAAAAACAGAGCTTTTCAATTACATATCAATTAGAACCCTTAAAATGCAGTAAAAATAGAAGTGAAATGTATACAATGGTAAAAAGATTGTGCACTGTGCGCCAGCAGGTCTATTGCAGCTAGAATAACGAACACGAGTTGTATTCTCCGAAGCAACAGAATTATTATCATTGATATTGTACCATCGTATTGAAGATTTCTTTTTCATGCTATGCTGCCCTTATATTTCTAATGTGACCATAAGCTAGTTATAAACTCCATTGGTAACATAATGTCATTTGATTTTGCTTGAATTTAAATATATATACCAGTATACAAAGAGTAAACATTTTTAAATAGCACAGCTTCACTTAAATAGTTACATTTTTTGCATTTTTACTGGGCAATATATAACAAATAGTAAATACATTGTAGTTAAATTGGCTATCTCCCAATATTAGGTCTACTAATAAACTGTGGTCTACAGAAAAAATTGTATTCAATTCAGTGATTTAATATGAAATAAGTAACTATTAAAATACAAAAAAGGTGGACAAGTGGGCACCGCTCTGCTGTATAGTACTTGTTATGGATGTGTTATGTTTGAATACAATGATAATAAACCATTGTATACGAAAAACGGTTCTGAGCAGTTAGCGTAGTACTTATAATATTATTATTTTTTATTCGTTGCTATAGTGATAAGCAAATCGTTAGAAATTAAAATCCCATTTTAAGCGGTTTTTCATAAATTTCATAATTTTCTCGACGCTTTCTAAACCTGCTTGGAATTTTCAATTTAGACTTCCCAAAAATGCCAATTAGGTTCACTTTTTTATCAGAAAAGATGTTGATCTCAAAAATTTAAGCTTGCTTACTATCCAAAATGTTGTTGACAGACAGAAATAAAAACACCCATCATTGTAAATCAAATACATTTTTTCGCTCTTCTCAGAATCTAAAAATTATATAATTATTATTAAGAACTGTTTAATTTAACTGCGGATTCTTTAGTTGAAAATATACTTGAAAATTATATTACATACATCTTAAAAAGTTGATTATAGTTAACTAAACTAATCAAAGCGACTTGGTATAATACACTCAACTAAACTGTTAATTGATAAACTGCTCTAAATAGTTACAATTAATTGGGTTTCATGTTCCATCATTTAATTTAAAAACTAACCCAAGTTTCCATGTCACCTTTGATTCTAAATAGCTTATTCCTAATAACGCAATAGGTTCCTTCCCTAGCCATGTAATGAACTAGTTAATTTTGATTTTAATTATGATTTTCAAACTGAATATACATTTTAAAATAACTGTTAATATTTGTATATTTGTTATGTTTATAAACTAATTTATAACAATGTCTACTGTATTCTACCCAATTCAGGTGTTAAACTATAAATGAATAAACTGTTGTTACCTATGTTCAACCATACCTTCTGATAGCAGTTGAAATTATTTTAAGTTTGTTTTTACCTGTACTTGAATAATTTATTATATTTTTATGCTTTGAATGATGTCATTTTCCACACGAGTTGAACGATATACCCACATATTCAACTCTAGTACTGTACAAAAGCAAATTTTACGTCAGATTTTTGTTACTGTAATTGCCTTTTAAAACACCCTCATTCAAATTTACTTGTAACAGACAAAACCAGAATACTCTTACTCCTTTTAAACTACTGAAACCATAAATCCTGTAAAAAACATATTTTATCTTAATAAAGTCCACAATATAACATAGTATATAAAAAATATTATTTTTTTTTTTACATAATAAATATACTTAATTGTATAATTTTATATTTTATTTTCGGTTTTTAGGACTTAAGCCAGGAGAACAATATGAAGTGCAAGTATTAGGTGCAACACAAAATGGTTTACCCAACATTAATTTTTCATGGCATTTAGTTGAGTTACCCAATATTAATCCTATATTGCCCATACCTATTTTAAGAATTATCATTGACCAATCAATTATAAAGGTATGTTGTATTTTAATGTTCACAGAATACTAAATTACAATATTTTTGCATTATTCTTTGATGATTTGTTTTGACAAAATGAGAGAAAATTCAAAAACAATCTATTCATTGTTTCTTATTAAATATTATTTACAGCTTTCATGGTTTGTCAATGATCAATCAATTAAATTTGACTCGTATAAACTAATGTATCGCATCACTAGCCAAACAAACCAATCAGTGATGACACTGCACATACTCAGACCAGACACAAACCATCATATAATACATTATACCAGTAAGTAATTTTTAGTGGTGTTGGTGCACTATTTGTTTTATTTCTCTTTCTGACCCATGCATTTATTATCTATATATTAGAATGAATTTACCTAGTATCAAACTTAAAGTAAGAATATTATCATAGCACCTACGTTTCTACCATAGTCTTTCATTAGAATTTTAGTGTACAGAATTTATATTTTATTATTAAAATGTACATATATTATGTGTACATCTATATTCCAGACGTGTGTATCATCTTACATCCGTTTTGTATTATCGCAGTGTCCTAACAATATATACTCTGTTCATAATGAGATCAGACTGGAACAGTGACTGGTTCTCGTCCGGTGGCTGTGAGTCAGATGCTTCTCCCACCATATCAACCACCTGGTTCAGCATTCGTAACAAAGCCACGTCCATGCGCCTTGGCTGCCTGGTATTGATCTCATTTGGGATAGAATTTAGATGTAACTATTTATTATCCCATTACAAAATGTATAATAATAGTCCTTAAGCTTACTACATCATACTTCGACGGTGGCAGCCTGTGTTTGGGCTGCCGCAATATTTAAAGCACCGGACAACCAAGTTTAAGTTGGATGGGTTACAATTTTTATTTATTTAAAAAAAAAAATATTTTATGTATTCTTATAATTATTTATAATTAAGTTACACATTACAATAAATAGGGATGGGCCGATACTAGAACTGATACTCTACAATGGTGTTGGTATTGGTATTGGTATTCCTACCAAGTTATCAGTAAACAAAGTTAATATTATATTAACGTTTTATTTCAATATCTGTTAAATTTTATTCTGTATAACTAAGTATCTTGTCTAATATTTTTAACATCAAAATTCTATTATATTAACCCGTTTGGTATTAATAAGTCACTGATACACCATACCAGAGAATAGAAATGGTCATCATTTAATAGTTACTACCATGTATCATTAAAACATTAATTTCAAAGTGAGTTATAACTTTGTAAAATATTATGATTATAAAATAATGTTGGGCTTCGTTCTGTATTTAATATAAATATTATTCAAAAAAATTAAAACATCAACTAAAACCTTTAAAACCTCTAGATAAAAATATTCTTACCTTTAAATTAAATAAGAGGTTAATTCATTTTAATATAATCAATATAAAGGTAACGACACTAAATTGATTTAGCTGAAAGAAAGTTTGCTATATTGTGTGTGTGTGTCAGACAGAGAGAAAACAAATAGTGCATTGATATCCTCTTAAACATAACTATATTTTGAATTGTCAATAATTTTAATTTTTTAGGTGATTTAGATGTTTATGAAGTATTATTAAACTGTGTATCCGAAAGCGGTGAAGGAGAATCAGTATCTAGAACTATAGCAGTAGGTTTAGATATATTGTCACCCCCATCTCAGATCGAAGCTGTTGCTACGTCACTCCAGACATTGAATTTGTCCTGGGTTCATTCAGATTCTGATAGTCCATTGTCTTTGCTGTCTATTATTACCTACAATCTAGTATCTGATTTTTCTCAGAAATCCACTACAGTTATAACTGATATGTAAGTAACAAAATATGTTATATTTTTAGTTTTCTAGAAAATTGTATTATTTAATTTTTTGTTTTTTAGGGGTGTATCTTCATTTGAACTATCAGGACTTAAACCTTATAGCTTATATGAAATCAAGATTGCAGTTCAAGACCAAAATAACAGAAAAAGTGAATTCAGTCAAAAGATACAGATACGCACACTTCAAGGAGGTATTTTATACAAAATAAAAAAAGCGCTGGTCTCTTATATTTCTATATTAAAAAAATTAATTATTTTTACTTTTCAGTTCCTGGTATAGTAGAACAAATAGAATTGCAGTGGATAAATACTAGTACTGTTCGTATAACTTGGGTAGAGCCAATGAAGTCAAATGGTGTGATTATGGGTTATTATGTTTCATATACACCCGATCTTCACATACCTCCTACATCCTGGGAACAGCTAAATGTCTCTCGTCATAAAAACTCATTAGATGTATGTATTTAATGTTTGAACTTAATTTTTGAAATAAAATATTTATTATTGATTTTAATATTATTTCTTAGTTGTACGGCTTAAACAATGACACACAATACTTCTTTATGGTACGTGCTGCTACTGATGCCGGATTTGGTCTACAAAGTGGCATATTTTCCATTAATCCTTTAACTACACTGATTAACCTACCAGTTAATTCAAAATATCCCTCCAATTCACCAGCCTTGTATATAGAAGATCAGCAGCTATTAGGTATAGTCATCGGTAGTGTGATTGGAGTTTGTTTCATGATGATATGTATTACAAGTATTGTATTGAAACGTCAATGCGTGAAAGCTGAACGAGAACGAGATCCCCAACAAAACTCAATGGGTACTGACATGGCATTCTGTGCTCAACATCTACGACCATTTACTATTGATCATGATCAACACGAAGAAAGTGTTCCTTTAAACGATGTAAATTACATTACTAGGCACATTGACGGAAGAAATCGATATCCAAATAACATGTCTGGCATGGCGTTACCACTTCTTGACCAAAGTAATCCAGGAGATCATGACATAACAAATGTCCATATCATTGAAAACCCTCAGGTGAGTTTACTTTGTAGCATTGTTATTATTGTAAACAATTTGTATAATAATACTTAAGAGGACGCTACGCAGATATTTGTTGCCTCCATCTTATAAGCGCGTAACATAGCAAATCACGTTTAGTTCCGTTAGTTTAAAAATTAGAGTGAATTTTGACCTCTTATTACATTTAAAGCTAAGATTATTATCTAGGGCAGGGGTCTTCAACTCGCGGCCCGCCCTGTCATAATATGCGGACCGCGATTACATTTTAAATTTAACATGTACATTTTCTAGTTCAATAAAATTATAACAGTTAAGCTATCGCTATCGGAAATATGCGATAAGATAAATTGAATTACCTACCAAGATATAATTATTATTGTCTGTTAGTTCGTAATCGATTGTGGCACGAGCACAATATTCTCGTTTATGTGTAAAAGTTTCAATTTCATACTTTTTCTTCGTAATATTTGTACAATATGTCGGTGAGTAAAAAATGTAAAATCTCGGATGAAAGTCGCGTTTTTCAAGAAAAATGGTCCATTATCTATTTTTTTATTCAAGTTAAAGAAAAGGCAATATGTTTGATTTGTCAAGAATCGATTGCAGTGATGAAAGAGTACAATTTAAAACGACATTATAATACCAAACATGCAGCAAAATAAGATATGATACAAGGACAACTTCGAATTGACAAACTTCCATTGTTAATGAAAAATATACAAGGTCAGTCTGCAAGTATAAAAAAATGTCATAAAGACTCAGAAGCCAGTGTCAAAGCTAGTTATATCATAGCACAAAAAATTGCAGCTAAATTGAAGCCGTTCACTGATGGTGAATTGATAAAAGAGTGTATGGAGGCCGCCTCTGAAATTTTATGTCCAGAACAAAAACAACTTTTTCCAAATTGAGTTTATCCGTGGTAACTGTAGCAAGGTGTATAGAAGAACTAGGAACTGATATTGAGAGTACCCTAAAAGAACCTATTTCTAAATTTATTTTTTATTCGGGGTATCGATTCTAATTTTATTATTACTGAAGAATTAGCCGCGCTTTTTCAATGAAAGGCACTACAAAAAGTTGTGATATTTTTAATGCATTAAATTCGACACTTAAGCGTTTTGACATCAAATTAAATAACCTTTCTGGAGTTATAACAGATGGAGCCCCATCAATGGTTGGAAAAAATGAAGGGCTCGTAGCGCTAATTAAAAAAGAAATGAGTACATGTGGTGCTTTACAACTGATGCAATATCACTGCATTATCCAGCAAGAAAATTTATGTGCAAAATCCGTTGGTTTTCAAACTATTATGAAAGATGTTGTAAAAATAGTAAATTTTATCAGATCAAGAGCATTGAATCATAGAGAATTTAAAAACTTTTTGAGTGAAATAGATGCTGAACAAGGTGATGTAATCTATATTACAGATGTCCGTTGGCTCAGCAGAGGAAAAGTATTGATAAGGGTTTTTGATTTAAAAAATGAAATTTTTGAATTTGCTGCAAGTAAAGGAAAACAATTTGACCACAACTTAATGATTCAGAATGGAAAAATGATTTTGCCTATCTTACGGATATTACATTGCACTTGAATGAACTGAATTTATGCTTGCAACATCAAAACATTAATACATAATTTATTTGACCATATTAAATCTTTTGAAAATAAACTTCTGCTGTGGGAAATTCAGCTAAGAAAAATAACACTACTCACTTCCCATATTTGTCAAAATACAATGTCACTTTAACGGAAAAATACGCAGAAACAATTTTTGATTTAAAAATTCAATTTGATTCGAGGTTCTTAGATTTCAAAGCTAATGAAAAATTGTTTAATTTGTTTTCAATTTCATTTTCCCTATCAGTTGAAGATGTCCCAGAAAACATGTAAATGCAGATCATTGATTTACAGAACAATACAATATTAAAAGAAAAATACAATAATGTTGAACTTTCAATTTTTTATTCGAAATATATTGACACGGAGACATATCCTAATCTCCGAAACAACGCATTACGAATGATGTCTCTTTTCGGCAGTACTTACACTTGTGAACACATTTTTTCACGAATGAAAATTGTCAAATCTAAAACTAGAGCTCGGTTAACTGACATTCACTTGGAAAATTCACTCAGAATTGCATCTTCTCAGATCCAACCAAATATCAAAAAATTAGTTCGTGAAAAACATTGTCAGTTTTCACATTAAAAAAAAATAAAAAAAATTTGTAATTAAAAAAAAATGTTTATCTATATATGCTTTAATAATAATAATAATTTGTAATTTTAAATGTACCTACCTAATTTTAAAAATTGTAATAATAAAACTGAATTTTTATATAAGATACATGTTCTTACTACGAATGCGACCCGCAAGATTTAAAAAAAATAATATGTGGCCCACTGCATAAGAGGTTGAAGACCCCTGATCTAGGGCATCTCATAGGCTTATTGTTATGTTTTAATTACAAAGCAAAATTATGAGTATTTTAAGAGTACAAACATTTTACAATTTAAAAATACTTATAACTTGCTTTAAAATTAAAATATAATAAAAATCCCTAGATAATAATCGTTCTTTTAAATTTTATAAGAGATTGATTCACTCTAATTTTTAAATTAACGGAGCTAAACGTGATATGCTGAGCATAAAATTTACCATGCTACGCACTTGTAAGATGGCTACAACATGTGTCTATGTAGAATTCTCTTAGCCTTATCAGAATGCTTTGGAACTAATATTTTATATATGTTTATATTTTAGTGTACTGTTGACGTTGATGGTTATGATGTGGACAGTCTATTAAGCGAATCAGCTGAAGGTGGTGCGGGCACCGAAGAATCTGGTTGCAGTGACCAACTGGCTAAGAGCCATAAAGGTGGTGGTGATTCTAATGTGGTTGATGATGGATTTCATGAACATGTTATGAGCTAGAGCTAAAGAGAATGTTAGTTGGTTGGTGTGTAGGTAATGGTATAAATGATGTGCCAAAATTGAGACATAATAATAATATTTTTTATGTATTCCCTGAGATTCACTAAAATCTGTATTATTTTTTTAAACTTATATGATGCACATTATAACAAACATCACCAAAAATAAAAAAAAATATCTGGTTTTTACTGACATCACATTACGCTGTTACACCAACAACATAAGTTATGTTGGATTCAACCTGAAAGAGTGTAGGCCACTGTTAATTATATTTTCAACGTTTTTTTTTTTTTTTTAATACTTATATTATTATTATTATTATTATTATTATTATTATTATTATTATTAGTAGTAGTAGTATTAGGAATAACTATGTATTGTCTTGTGTCTTATTATTTTATTATTATTTAGTTTGCTTTCAAGTTTAACTTTTGATGTGTAATTTTTGGGTTGATTTCTTGAAATTTTGAACAATTAAATTTGATTTAATGATTTTTATAAAACACCGCCTCCAGTTCTTACCATTTTTAAATTATTATTTTCTTTATGGATTGCGATAAAAAGTGAGATACAGACGTACATTAATAAAATATTGTTAATATAGTTTATAAGTGTTTTCCAGAATATTATATCTATATTTTTTTTAGAGTATTTAGTTATCAGGTTTCACTGAACCTCACAAATATAGTATAATTAATAAATATTTTATATGTTTATGATCTTCTGAGCTCTATCAAAGATTTTGGTACCAAATAACCATTGCTATTCTTGGATTTTTACATACATATAGTGTCCATCCCCTTAACTACAAGCCAATAGCTTGCCAAAAACTTCAATAACATTAATGTTTACCAGTATATAATCCATTATATAGTTTAAAACTGAATGTTGTTCATAATAATAATAATATTAATAATAAAAATAATAATTAAAATAATAATAATAATAATAATGTTATTACTATTACTATAAATTATAAAGTGTAAAAAAGTTGTGAAAAAATGTTAATTTTTACATTATAAAGTTGACGTAATTTAGCAGTTTTTCTGGTATATTTTATATTAATAATTAATGTTTAATTTTGTTTGTTAAATTGTTTAATTTACAACAATATATATATATATATATGTATATATATTATATATGTAGTTCCTATTCCCCTGAATATTTTACATTTTGAACAAGAGAAATACTTACAATGGAACTTTTTCTTTAGAGATATAATAATGGATCTCAAATGGCGCTTAGAATTGAAAAAGTTCTTTTGTATATTCAATATTGTATTTACCTATACACATACAAGTCAATTAAATTATCATAGATATTCATTCCCTTGGCACATTCCAAATAGGTTGTGATTAATTTATCTCATTATTTATATGTATATACTATATATAAATATATATTTATAATATATATGTATACAAGTATAACATGTGTACATGTGTATATATATTATATTTATTTTAAACTCCGATAATATTTTTACAGCCTTTATGTACTTAGTGTATATTTTATACATACTATTTTTTTTATTATTATTATTAATTTTTTTTTTTGTTACATTTAAAGAAGTAGGTACAAAATATTTTTTTAAGTTACAATGCTTAAGTTTTTATTTATTTATTTAATTGTTAAGTTTATACTTGCCAACGTTAATTTTCATTCAAAAAAGCAATTATGAAATAAGATGTTTTTTTTTTCATGTCTACTTATTAAATTGATATTACTATGAGTTAACTGAAGAAGTGATCATGAAACTACCGTAAACTTCTATGGTTTTCATAACAACGATGATTATAATTATGTAAAGTATAAAGATACTTCACAAGTACCTGATAGTTTTATTAAAAATGTAATGTAACTCATACTTATATTTTGTAAAAAAAAAAAAAAAATAATACACTATTATTGCTAATTTATTTATAAATATTTTAAAAATAAGCCAAGGTACTTGTATATTTTTGATTATTAATGTTAATTATCATAGGTAGTTTATAATCAATGGCTATATAGCATAGCTGTGTTTAAATGTGTACAAGCTGAACTCAATTTTTTTTATAATTTCAGTGAAATATGTAATGGCCTATTTTGGTGCTCTTTGACAAACCCGGAATTTAAAAAATAAAACTCATATAAATATATATTCTTTTGGCACCTTTGGCCAATTTTATTTCTATACTAACAACTATTTGTCAGAATATTTTATTATTATATAATTATATTGCAATGTTTAAATTGCACATTTTTAATTCAAGTTTATGTTTGTTTAAAAAAAATATATATATATATATAACAATACAATTACATGTATTATATTCTTATTTGAACAACATTTTTTTTATCAAATCTTGGTACATTTTAAACGTATTTTTATATGGTAGCTATTAGTAAGTTAAACATTTTCAGGGCCCTTTTTTGTAGCTCGTCAAAAGTATACTGTTTTGAATTTATGGTAACTAGTTCTAAGTGTATGGAAAAAGCTCATATTTTAAGGTGCTTCAATTAAAAATTATAATAACTTTTTTTTTATAATACATAGTGTTCATACACAAATATATTTATATAAATACCATATATACACATGAAGACTGCCACAATTAAAAAAAATCTGATTGGAATATTATTTTGTACAATAGTCAACATAGGTATATATTATATTTGCTCCACATTTTTAAACCCTATTTGATCTGTTTGTATGAGAAAAAATAGTACAAATTTTTTTTTCAATGTCTCAAAAATTATGATAATTTGATCTATATTGATATACTTTTTTTTTTCTATGAATAAAGCTGTTGTATGATTTTTTCCGCTTTGTTATTTTGTAATTATTTGTTATTGCGTTAAATTAAATTAAATATTTTTATGTGAGTTTGGTTTCTCCAACACCTTTCACCCTGAAGCAATAATGCTGTAAAATTTTTTTTATGAATCTTATGTGTATGTTAATCTTTTTTTTGTCATATTGTTTTAAATATTTACTTTAATAAACATTATACATACTACATAATATTTTTTTCAACATACCAGCCCCAATATTAAATATATTGTAGTACTTGGATAAGAATTTTGTATTTGTGTTTCTTGATTGCAGTTAGATACATAAACTAACTACCTAGGTACCTCATTAGAATAGTAAGTCGTTGCAGTTTATTTGTTTTATTATTATTATTATTATTATTATTTGACGTTAATTGTACATTTGTACCTATTTGAATTGAGTTTATATGTTCTTATGTGTTGTACAATTAGTACATCGTTTATATTTTGATTAAAATTAAAATTATATAAATTTAAAAAATATATATTGTGAATTTGCAAATACTTTATTGATCCCTGCCACATTATTGTCATATGATGGGTATTTACTATTATTGCTTTTAAAGGGAAATGATTTTCTGTTATCGAAGACTAAAAATATTTTTCAACCAAAATTGCAAAAGGCAATATGGTTAAAAAAAATTCTGAAAATTATCTCCACCTCCAAAAATCTGTCAAATACAAAAGAAAACATATACAAAATAATAACAAACTAATATTAATTATAATAAATGTAACATTATCATATTAGAGGCCTAGTATCCTCAAAATCTCCAATCTTGGATTATTATCCTTGGCAAGTAGTTTAATTGGAAACAGTATTAAATCATTTTTAAACATTCCAACATTGACAAAAAATTGAAAAAAATAGATTTTAAGAAAAAAATAATAATGGAGGGGATGGCCGGGTGTGTGTAGGAAGGTGACTGGTGAGGGCAAGGAAAGTTTTCCCAAGCCCAAATATTGTGCCGTCAGCTATTTATCAATAAGACTATAATATTATGATTTATGATTTACGACATTTGTTGTCACTTGTCATACCGAAAGGTACTATATAAATATAATATAGAAAGTACCGCGTACCTACCTAAATTATGGGCTGAGCCTTTTTTTTAAATTGCACTTATAAACATTTACATTTTCCAACATCAGCAGGGCCCTCACTACTCGAAGAAGTGGCAACGGTAAATAAAAATCAATCCTTAACTCTCTTCTAATTGCATCGCATCATTATTAAACAATATCCCACTCTCCACCACTCCCATTTCATAACACACTTCACACACACTTCATATCTTCCGTACATCCATATATACAGAGCCGTGCTAAGGGGGTGGCAAATAGGGGAAGTGCCCTAGGGCGGCCAAACTTTTAACATTTTAAAGGGTGGCAAATGTTTAAATATGTATGTTTATTAGGGGCGCAAAATATTATTATTGCCTTGGACCCTGGGGCATCAATGAGAGTTAGCACGGCACTGCATATATATATAAAATTATAAAAAAAAAGGTGGGTAAGTGGATGTCGCTCTGCTGTACAGTAGGTATCAAGTGGATCACTGTATAATGGATGGTATTAAATTTGAATTCAATGATATAATATCATTGTATAAGAAAAAAGATTCTGATCGGAGACGGTCAGTAAGCTTATGATATTACTAAGTGTATTTGATGATATTATATTGTGAATAAAGTAATTTAAATAAAACCTATTTACATGGAACCTTGTTTTAAATTTTTAATCCTTACCTATAAAAGTTGAACATTTTATACATTTTTAACTAAAAATAATTATTAAATTTTAAATTTAATACATTTTGTTAAAATTTGAACTTTAAATACAGTAAATAGTAAAACTCGCTTAAGACGCTTTCCCGTCGGTCCCTATATCATCTATATACCTACCTATTTCATTTCCGCATAAGACGCTTTCCCGCTTAAAACGCTCTAGAGAGCTGGTCCCTTAAGCGAGTTTTACTGTACTTATAAAAAAAATTGTGCCTATGTATTTTTAAAATTTTTCAACTGCTATAGTAACAGTATATCAGGAGCCTTTCATTAAATTTTCACGCCTTTTTACCCAACAAATACATTTTTATTTATATTTACAGAAAAAAAAACTAAAAAAATTTAAAACTGACAATGTCCATAAACAGCTCAAAAAGATTCAAAATATTTTCAAAATTTTATGGTGTATGGAAAATGAAAATATAAACATTCAGTAGGTATAATTTTCATGTATTTACAGTTATTTGTTTTTGAATAACAACAAAATAACAAAATCGCTTTATGAGAAATCGAGTTGAATATTCATATCGTAAAAATATGAAATTCAAACGCTCATAAAAATTTAATTTTATTTGCTTAAAGACATTTTTTTTTTTTGATAAAGATAGACAAACTTATGAATAATCTTGTATTACATTTTAAAATCTTAGATTTAAAAAGAAAATTTTTTATGAACTTCTAACTCAAAATAATTTGCATATTTTCGTAATTTTTAGGTATTTTGTCAATATTTGAACTTTAAATGCTTATAAAAAAAATTGTAATTATAGATTTTAAATCATCAGCCTTTGAAACAATATACTACGGGCCTTGTATTAATTTTTTACACTTTTTGGCAACAAATAAAATTTTATTGGTATTTATAGAAAAAACTAAAAAAAATGGAAACTGAAAATGTCCGTAAAGAGCTCAAAATAAGTCAAAATATTTGGAAAAAGTTATGGTTTATAGAAAATGCTAATATAAACATTCAGTCAAAATTTCATGTACCTACGGTCATTTGGTTAAGAGTTGCACCAAAAACCAAAATCAATTTTCTAAAAAACAGATTTTGCGTGAAAATTCCCGTTTTTCCTTAATTTTTCTTTAGTTTTTCACTGCGCTTTTGAAAACTACTTTTAAAATTTTGCTTTTAACCCCCCAAAGTACCATCTAGATTCATTTTCCTATCAGAAAAGATTCTGTTGAAGAAAATCTAAGCTTTTTTCTGTCCAAAAAGGTGAATACAGACACAAAAATAAAAAAATAAAAAGACTCACATCATTGTAAAATCAATACATTCATCGTTCCACTCAGAATCTAAAAACAATAATACGCTAGGTAATACATTATTATCAATATCATTAGTAATTTATGTATTTAGTACCTATAATTTATTGTAAAACCAAGGTGTGTTTTAGTTTTACACCTTGATAGGTAGGTACTCCTTGTGTAAAACATAATAATATATCATTGAGTAGGTACTAATATATTGTAGGAGATAGTGGGGAAGATTTGAATGCGAGGTACATTTTAATTTGTCTAATATAATATGTTATATATTATTTACATTAATAAGAATAATAATCTAAGTTGATGACAATGTTTGGTATACCATATGTGATTATCAGGCATTTTTGAACAATTTTGAAATAAGCCTAAATGATAATGTGATTTTCCAAAAATAAACAGTGGCTTCCGTAAGAACATTTCGATACATTTCATAAATTTAGAACTAAGTATACTTATTCAAAATATGGTTGCCTAGTAATATATTTAATGTTAAATTTATTTATAATTAATACAATTTATATTACGATTATTATTGACTATTTTGACATGGGGTAGATTTGAATCTTCATTAATAGGGACATAGGGTAGATAATAGGGTATAATATAGGTTCCTATATTATCTATCCTATGGATGGAATAGACTAGTTTACTGAATTTATGTCACAACATGTGGATTTATCTATGAGAAAACCTCAAAAACTAGCTTTTTACGATAAAAAAAAAGTTGATAAGAAAACATCTAAACTGAATTGTAAACAATTGTTATTACCTAGGTATATTTAGTTATTTTTATTATCAAAATAAATAAAAAGTATAATTTAATTTAATATTTATTTATGTTCAACATTAAAATGTGGCCCTTTAATTGTTTAAGACACATATTCAAATCTACCCCATCCATAATACAAATATACTTCACTTTAAAATTAGAAATTAAATTGGTTATTTAGTATATAAAGTTGTTATGAGTTAAATAGTATTCACAACCATCTAGACTGCAGATTTTAAATATCAAATACAAAATTTGTCAACAATTTAAATATTAAAATAATTTCATTCAAATCTGCCTCACTCTCCCCTATAATATAATATTGCACTGCTGACTGGAAGTGTATAGAATATTTTATACAAAGTATATAAATTTGGATACGAAGAAACCATGCCTCGTGATCGCATGAACTTCAATACCTACTTAATTTAATATTTAAGGTCCAGTTTCAATAGTTTCGTCATACACGCTTGTTGGCAAACTAGACATAACAAACGGTATTCCACTCTTCTGTATCAATTTAATCTATGTCAACTTTATAAAATCTTATACAAACCGACATATTTGTATAAGTACTCGTTTTTTTCGAATTAGGTACCTACCTACATTATAATTTATAAGTTTATAAGTTTAAGCGATATTTACTTCAGTACTCAGTCTTCACGTCTATACATAAGTACATCATAAATCATATCATAATATACTTATACATTTACAATTATATTTGTAGTAGTATAGAAACATTTTTGAGCCTGTGTACATTTTATAAATATATATATATAAATTTATTTTATGAATTTATATTTAATATTGTTTTATTATTGAACATTGTACATTGTACATTTTTCAAATAAAAAATGTTTATGTAGCTTGCCATTTCAAGGGGTCACATTTGAGTGGCAAAAAAACTGTGGGTCATCTTTTAGGTATACAATTAGAAATATTGGCACAACGCACAAGTTTTGATCAATTTTTTGTATAAGCTTTTTTTTAAGGCTTGATTTACTGTTAAAAACATTATTTGCTATTTATCAACAATCGTATTGACTGTATAGTTATCCTGTTTTTATTTAGGATGGCCGAATACAGATCGAACAGAACAGGTATAGGTATCTCAATACCTATATAAAACAGTGTAGGTACCAGCAAACAATTAGATTTTTTTGGTTTGTTGTAAATTATACCGGGTCGATGACGTGTGCGTTGGAACTCTACCTATATGAAAAAGCTATTTTATATTTTCTAAAAATGACAAAATGTGTAGGCACTTGATTATTTATTATTATAATATTATGTAAATCTAGAAAAGTGAAAGAAAAACCCGTATTTAGTAGGTAGGTTATATAGGGTACCTATCTATCACCTGTATATTTACATCTAAAACAAAATATTTTCTGAAAGAAGTATTTAAGCCTTGAGGCAATGTTTTGAAATGTGCTGCTTTCTTAATTTTTCCAAAACATTCGGCGTAGGCATAATAGGTTTTCTGGGCTTGGATGAAAATGCGCACGTTTCGTGGATTTCAACTTGACGGCCGCGATATCTTGTGTAACCGCCTCGTGTTGTTAGACTGATTTGAGGATTCTTATTAATTCATAAGTCTACCTTGCGGCCGACCTTACCTTAACCATGGTACCCTATAATATGTAATATCATCATAATATTATTATTATGTATATGAAGACGTGGCGTGTACCTACCTTTGGCGGTGAGCGTGGAGATCGCGAGCGCATAAAATAATAATACAATATTGTGCCGGCCGTCCTTTTTTCCCCATAAAAGTACAACGGGACGGTTTTAGTTGCAACATGATATTGGCGAACGACGGCGAGTGCCATCGAAAATAAAACGTTTATAAATAGAACCGAAGTCGTGGAGGGGTGGCTGCGGCCGAGCAGCGGGTCAGCAGACGAGGTGCACTTCAGTCGATATTCGTTCGCATCGCCTTCCGAGGATACACGTGCGAACCGAACACAGTCCATTCACGATTTGAACGCGCACTCATTAAAATGGTGAGTACCTACTTGCATATTTTTTTATTGTTAACTATTAAAAATCATGAATTTTCTCGACAATCCCGATCAACTAGAACTGTGATTTGGGGAGAGCGTTTTTTGTTTGGTAGTCGATGGTATCAGCCGATTGTCGGGGCAGATAGATCAAAGGGATCCACTTGAGGCGAAAAAAAAAATTTGAAATTGTAATAGAAATTGTTATGAAGAAAAATAATATCTTATTAATTCATATTTTGTTTTATACTGAAAAGTTAAAATTATCATTTCAATGCAGACAGATTTTTAAAAAAAATTATTTCAGTTTTACGCTCAGGAACTTGATTATCATATTATTATTATTATTATAACAACACAATAAGCGATATTAATTGGTATTATCGACAAGACAGGCACAGTGCTCCGATATTTATAATTTAATGACCACAGATGACAGATATTTTATCACACAATATTTAAGTAGATACGCATTTTTTTAGCCATTACTTTATAGTTTATACTTGATTTTTAAGTTCCAGATTACTTTTATTTAAATTTATATAAAAAAATAATTGGCTATTAAGTATAAATAATATCTACTCGTTTTTCGATGTAAACTAAATAGTTAAAATTTCAAACCGGCGAGGACTGCTACCACAAAATGTGAGAGGAAATATTATATTTGGGAGATTGTACAATGTACTCCGTTCCAGAATATTATCCTATTTAGTGATTTTAGGTGTACAGCCGTACAGGTATAATAGGTATATTATAGTACATAATAAGGGCCACATTTAGTTGGTTTACACTAAAATTGTTTTATAAATTTACAACGCTTAAAAGATGCACATTTCAAATACTTCTTTAGTTCTTTAGTTCTTCGTATAAGGTACCCGGTAAAGATAAACTTTTTCCAAAAAATAAACTATTAGGTATCTTACTATAGTAAATTTGGAAAACACTCCGTTTTGCCTCAGATGTTTATTCGTACATATAGAAATCAGTCTAAAGGTTGTTTGTTTTTTTTTCATTTCAGGAATTGTCCAAAGACGATATTGAACGTAAGTTACATACAAAAATAATAATAATAATAAATAATAGTAAATTATAATAAATAATAACGTAGCATAAATGAATTCATTTACACGTATTATTCCCGTCGGTTAATTTATTAATAATTGTTCGACATTTTAGGCGTGAACTTCGTCTGGGGTATCTACGACAGCACCAATGAAGGCGTTGACGCTTTCTACTTGGGAGATCTGCTCCGTGCTTTGGAAATGAACCCAACATTGGCCACCATCGAGAAGATGGGTGGTACCAAAAAGAAGGGTGAGTGTAGATCAATTTATATTAATTCATATAATATTATTATCTAATTTATATAATATGAGCCATCGTGCAATGTCTGATTTGAGACACAATAACAACATGATAATTACACGTGGTTGTGTGTTTTTCACGAGCAGGTGAAAAGAAATTGATGGTGGACGAGTTCTACCCAATTTTCGCTCAAGTGATCAAGGACAAAGACCAAGGAGTGTACGAAGATTTCATTGAGTGCCTGAAACTGTACGACAAAGCCGAAGACGGTCACATGATCGGTGGAGAACTGACACACATCCTCCTCTCCTTGGGTAAGTGGTCGCCGATACACCCTGTCGGGTTCTAATATTATATTTGTATTCGAACTCTTTGTATAATGTTATGCCCCACCAATAATGAGCTCCTTACCGCAGGTTGATGTCTTGTTTTTATTTTTATATCTGTTTCGCGTTTGCAGGAGAGAAATTGTCCGACGCGGAACTCGACGAAGTCGTCAAGGATTGCATGGACCCCGAAGATGAGGACGGTATGATCCCCTATGTCCGTGAGTAATCGATATTTCGTTATATTATATGCGTATTATAATATGATATGTATAATTAATTTATACTATGTACATCCAAATCGCGTTTCCGGTGCGGTGTCTGACGAAAGTTTGTACACCCGTCGGCAACGTTCGCCTATACCAATATCCTATTCTTATACCTACCTACCTGTGCCAAAATAAAAACCACCTTGATCGAATGTTTTTCAGCGTTCGTAAAAAAAGTGATGGTTCGCCTGAGCGACATGAAATAAATTCCATTTTAAGCGTTTAACGTTAAAAAAAAAAAAAAACCATTAAAAAATTAAAACTACCCGGACCATTATCCGTAAGTGTAAAGATACCGTTTTTAAACGATACGCTGTTGTGACGTCATTGCGTTTTTCTCTGTTCAACGCAAACTGCTTGTAAAATATATAGTGCGTGCCTGTGTGTGCAAGGCCATGGCGCAGGACCTTGGTCCAGCGCCGCTTCCCTAGTTGTCCTTAAAATTCGGCATCGTCATCGGTTTCTAGCCCATCGCACGGACATAATATTAGAATATATTACTCTGTCTATACTCGGCACTCGTCGCAGTAGGAGATTTCCGTATTTTGGTTTTGCTATCGGTCGGTGACTAAAATATTTTATCGACGAGCGATTTATCGCTGTCCGCAGAAATGTGGAGCGACATAATATGTCTGGAAGGAAAAGAAAATTATAATCTGTTTTGCGATCATAACGAAACACCACGCTTGGGATGATGTACTTTATAAACGCTTTTATTTTTAAACTGCCGCTGATCATATGGTCACTACGACCTATGCGTTATATTATAATATCGCCATAGTAGCGTATAGTGTGTACAGCTATTGCTATTACTGTATGTTATACTGACCGGACAGCGCCTCTATAAATATAAATATTTGTTTTCACGCACATTTTGTGATTGTCGCTGTCCGTCCGCTTTTGCTCGCTTGGGTTTTTTTTTGGTCCTTTTTACCACAGCGTTGCGTTACCAGCGACGCGGTGGTCTATTTTTAGAGAAGACCGTATTTTAAACTTGGCGCCGTCTGTTTTTTTTCTTTTCAGCGTTTCTGGCCAAAGTTTGTGGAAAGCCCGTACCGGCCGACGACAACCCGTTCAACAAGTAAAACCACACGCGCATCGCTCCGACAAAAGCAAATACACGTTATTATTTATTTATTATTATTAATATAATTATTATTATTATTATATTATTATTGTTATTGTTGTTTTCCGCACCCACTGGCGCCCGTCGTACGAGACGATCGTTATTTATTATTTGTATTGTTACAAACAATTTACGATGTTTTTGTAAAAAATTACATTATATTTTGATTTAAATATCATACAGACAACGAATGATAATAATAAAAAAAAAATTAAAAAAATTAGCGTTCTGGAAATCTCACTCGTTTGCCTGCAACACGTCATCATGAAACCCGTGCTCGTCGTTTTCGATTTGTATTTATTTAATCGGCTTTTCTTATTTTCGTATTTTACCAGGCTGGCATATAATAGTTGCAATGGTGCCAGCGACGGAATTAGTTTTAGAATCGCGGTCGGTCAAACACTATAGGTTACCTGACTCTGTGCCAATTTTAAAACACCGTTAACGGCGATTTTACTTACTCCTGTAACACGGCGCTTCGTTTATGCAATTCTTAGACGTCGGTGTATTGCACACGCACGGACGGAAGACGCAGTCACGCCATACAGACATGATACATTGATATTTATTTTTATTATTATTATTATTATCATAACTATGGGATTTATATGCAATATAAAATAGTACCTAAAATATGAATTTAATTTTGTTAGAATTTTAGCATATTCCAACAAAATGAAATGAAAATGCAATAAAAAAAATGTATAACATATACAATACAAAAAAATTATTAATAATTTTCAAACTTTCATGGAGCATCTATTAAAATTTAAAAATAAATTTAATAAAGTAATTTTTTATATAAACTAAATAATTTCTAATAGTCTTACTATTAAATAATTCCATAACTTTTTCAATACAATTTATAATTTTTTTTGTCAAAGACAAAATCACTGATATTATGAAATTAAAACTAAGTGCGTAATATGACGTGTTATTTACTCAAATCTAGTCTTTCAAACTATTACACAACTTTTTTCAAAGCATGCAATAATATTATACCTAAAATATGAAAAAATATGTAAAATGCAAAAAAATATAGTTTAATAATTATATTAATGTTTGGAAATGTAATGGTACGTTGCTAACTAAACATAACAATGAATATAAATCGTCTACTAATACTTATGATACCTTTTTTTATCTGAATATTGAAGTTTTCAATACGAATATCACAATATATAATATTATTATGATGGGTGGGCATAATTTGTGAAAAGTATAGAATTATAATACAGAATGAATTAATTTTATAATCACATATAAAACATAAAATACATTATAACGAAATAGTTAGTTGCATACCATACTAAATATAATATCTAAAATAATGAAGTTGAAAAATGAGAAGTTTTGCTCTATTTATAGCGCAGTGATGCTCAAAGTTTTAATCAGTGAGTCATATTAGTAAAATACTGTTGTCTTTGTGAGGACTATCGATAATAGATAAATTTAATATTTCATCACTACATTGTATCCTTCTGGCGTGTGCCGTACCGAGTACCTCAACAGTTATTTTTCAATCATAAAATTTGCCACGGGACCCTTTTGAGGCTTTGGTGGTCTACGGTCTGTGCATCACTGTTCTTGAGTAAAAAATAGATTCTCCATTGTTGAACATCTCAAGTGTCATTGGTAAGTTCAAAATTCAGATATTTATTTACTAGCTGTAACAAAAATAAATCAAAACTATTTACAACAAAAGGTAGTATAATCATCGTAGACAAAAATATAATTTATACCTTTATGCACTTTATACCATACCAGAATTACTTGATATACTATTTTGGAGCGATAGGATCAAAATATTTGTTATTATTTTTTTAAAACAATAATTTTACCACTCTTATGGCTTAAATAATGTTATGAAGTCTATATGCGTGGATTTCTAAATAATAGTTGGTGAAACGTTTCGATTGATTGATTGATCAGTGATCTAATAATATACAAATATTAAATACACAAGACACTATTATCATAATAATGTTGTAACAATACATGTTAATTCGAGGTTACAGTAACCGTATTCAACGCGATTGTTACTGTGCTGAATATCTAAACATTATACTAATATGTATATAGTAAAAACCTATTGTAAAATTAATAACTATACACACGGTCAATAGGTACTACTATATAATAATATTATGCTTACTAACCAGTCATAGTGTATATTGTATAGCCAAGCAGACAATACTACAATATATTTATTTTCATATTATTTATGTTTGAACGAACGCATAGCAAAAAAAAATTGTTTAGGTACTGCACTTATATGGTAGTGTTTCGTGTGTATTTTAAATAATACAGTGACGAGTATTATACTGTCGTAAAAATATCGTGGTGCCAGTTTAGTGCACGATTTACGTCCAAAAACGATTATTCTCCAGGGCGTGCAATGTGCAAATAAATAGTTAAATATAATATTATATAGCCCATTGTCTATTTGTGCTGTCAATTACTTTTTCAATAGGTAGTTAGTTCTATATGACTTTATTTTATGACTTTTATGATATTTTTCGATTAATATATTCGTATGAAACGTAGTTATCCAACGCTTAAAAGATTTATCGACAAAAGACAACGATAAAAATAAATAAAGATAGAAAAACAATGAATATAAATAATTTTATCCATAAAGACGAATCTTAGACTATCTAAGGTCAGATTTGAGCTCTCCAACTTAACATTTGGAGTACATGTTAAAAAGGACATTTTTAAATTGGTTTAAGAGGAAAAGGAAGACTAGGAACTGTGTCCCTTAGCATCCCAAGACTCTATAAATATACTAAATTAGCTTAAAAAAGATTGAATATTTAAATCAGTGGCGTCATTTGGGCGGGGGGGCAGGTGTATAAGAATGCTATTTGTATTGAGATAAAAATGCAATTGTAATGTAATGTAATTGTGAGCGAGCTTTTTTTTTTCAGTTTTATTTTGGGCCGGTCAAACATTTTGCCCCCCCTCTCAAACACTGAAATGACGCCACTGCTTTAAATCATGAATATTATTGTTTTTGAAAGAAGAACACCACATTTTAAAACCAAATTCGTTCACTACAATTCACGAGTACTGATTTATTGTTTTAGATTTTTAATTTATTATAAATTATAATGATTTTTATTCTATTATTAATATCAGTTAAATAAAATATATTATATTTAAGTATCATGATTGTCAACTCTTTAAATAAAACCTAACATCATAAAATATTGTGATGATTGAAGAACTTATTACTCAGAGTATATGCTGTATAGTGTACTAGTGTACACATATATTTACAATACGAGTTGGATTTACTATTACCATTTACATTATGGTATTAAATGTTCACTTATATACTATATAGTCATATAATATAGCCATAAAACCATATAGGCTATAATTATAATGCCCGGGTTGCATGAACAATCACTAAATATTATTTAATGAATTGACAGTAGATAAGTTAAATATGATTTAGAGGCCAATGATTAGTTCAATACATTTTAGAGAACCATTAAATTAATATATTTTTAATGCAAAGTGGTATTAAAGAACTTAAGTTTTTATGTAGGTAATATTCATTATATTATACGTATGTCCCGTTATTATTGGTTTTCTTAATTTCATTACATAGCATACAAAGTAACCGTTAGCAAAAACTACAGTAATATTCATGAAAGTTCTCTTAAAAGAGGGGTTGTATACCAACCTATTATATGCGGGTCAACAAAGCTATCAGTATTAGGTAGTTTTCTAATCTATTTATTGTGATTTATTAACTAGCAAAAATAAACCCATAATATTATAATATACAATATTTAAACTGGTGCAGTTGATCGCGTTTAACACTGCGCGTGTGATACGATCGTAAAGCAGCGTAGCAACAGTTGCGATTTGATAACATAAATAATAATAATATTATATGTAGTAGCCGTGTGACTTTGTGTAATATATTATATATTATACGGTCGTAAATTCGCGGTCGACACGCGTGTGGTTCTTAATCGGGTTCATCATAAACGACGCATATAGTATCTACCTGCCTTGCCGCACGTTTAGCATATTACTCCACCTTCATTATCGTATATGATATAC